AGTATGCGTAATTAGGAACCAAGTCTGACAACGTCCATTATGCTTGGAATATTTTTATCATAAGGAGTGTCGATTTTATACACAGCTTTTTGAATTATCAAATAAATATGCTCACTTTCTTGGGGAAAATTTAGGTTCAATACATTAAATAATTTAAATAACGTATCAAATGCTTTACCGCTACTGTCAAACTCGTATTTAATGTTGTCCACTATAGCAAAATTCTGATTAATCTCAGTCAAGGGTGGTCCAATGAAAATTAAATAAGGCTGTACCGTTCGCCCCTTTTGATATGCTGCATCTGCCTTTTTCTTCATTTCAGAGTCGACATCTCCCGCGTGCTGATAATATAAAATCAACAATGTAAAGAAATGCTATAATAGTTACCAAAAGTACCTTCACCTGTAGAAATATTCCATGCGTGCTTTCCAAGGTAGAGAACTTCCAAGTACTTTTACCCACTCTAGATTTTCCTGTAGGGGGCACACATTGGTTCAGGAGATACAACTGAGCAGGAATATTATTATCACTTATAATTGCACAAGAGGTTTGTATTTTACCGAGTAAATTTGGGTTGTTTAGGTAATGAAAATCTGTTGCCTAGCAATTAGACGAGAAAAATTGTCAACTAATAAAAATGCGACACCGCAGGTGGAGCATTTTTAGGTTGACAGTTTTTCGAGTCCAATTGCTAAAGGAAACAGATTTGAATTGCCACAACCCAAATTTGCTCGGTTTAAATACAAACCTCGAGTGTAATTCGGCAGGACAATTTAACGAACAAGAAATTCACCAAACTAATCAATTATTGACAGACGTCAAACTAGCCATATGGGAAAGGATAATGCGATTATTGGTTCGAAAATGAATAAGTGAAAAAACCACTAGTGCATTTGTCGCTGGAAAAGTTGCAGGTAACTTTTGCCGCTGTCAAAGTGACAATTACACTGCGGCTTATGTGATTTTTTATACATGAGTTGAATTGTCACCTGTAAACAAAAAAAAAGGAATAACAGCCTTTGATTATAATAATTTCTTGTTGATTGTGTAATGTTGTACAATGGTACCAAATTATTAAGTTTTTTTTATCACAGCTCCCTTTCATATAAAGTGTCAAACATTGAATAAAAATCTTACCTCCCTTCTCCACAATGTCGATTAATTCTAATACATAAGGATCTCGTAATTCATTTTTTCGTTTCAGTATCAAATTTGTTATAAATGTCTGCCAGTGTATATATAAGTTCAAATGCTTCTGGGGATATAGCAGCTCAAAGGCCAAGTTAATCTGAAAAATAAACTAATTGTAACCTGGAAATTGGACGCATCAGCTACCAACGATCGAACAATTTTTCTTGGTGCGAAATGAACTAATGTAATTGCAGGTATTAATTCAAAACAAAATAAGTATCCATTATTTAATGTATGAAAATATTATACAGGGTGAGTTTTTTTTATTTCCATTCCACTATAGGGATATTGTAAACCGTATGAGCTACAAAATCGTATTCATAGTTTCATGTATCTTTACAAATAACGAAGTTATTGACAAAAACCGAAAAATCGCATTTATCGAAATACGCTGGCGTTTATTTATTTTCAAAGATATCAAAAATTACTTTTAACAAACCCTTACGGCCGTTTGCACCGACAAATTTAAGCGTAGCTTAGCTTAAGAGTAGCTTAAAGTCCATGACAACGATTACTGAGACAATGGTTGCCATGGATTTTAAGCTACGCTTAAGCTAAGCTCAGCTTAAATTTGTCGGTGCAAACGGGCATTAGTTATTTTTTCTCTGCTATTTGAAAAAATACAAGAAATTATGAATACAATAGTTAATCAGCATAAAATTCTACTTAACTTTGTCTTAACTGATTTGGAAAAAAATATTGGGCCGCATCAATATGCATGTTATGATAAGTGCTTTAGTTTCTTTCAGACACTGAACCACTTGAAAAAGACAGCTGATTATGTTATCAGTTATGTGATTCATGCAATTTGTTATGAATGAATATACATATAAGAAGAAACAATTTTTCAGATTCAAAATGTAAATTATGTGAAGAAAATTCCATCGGACTATGTAGTTGTACATACAAATGTTTTACAATAATGTCCACCAATCTGTTTTGTTGGGTGTTATTGAGCTGCTGGTGGGTTTCGTAGTACTGCAGCACACTTTTTCCCAACGCGGAAGTTGTCAAAAGCGTCTTAAGTTCAAAATCATCATAACCAGACGAAGTGGTTGGTAGTGGTAAATCAAGGGTAATGTAGTTATCCAGGAGTTCAACTGATGCCGTAAGGTCAACAGGCGTATCTTCAGTTATGCCTACTATGGAAGCTTGATTTTCTGATGTAGATGTAGATTCAGTATCAGTAGTCATTTCCGAGACTTCCTAATAAGGTTATTAATATTATTGTTAGATAAATTGTATTTTTGACCTGGCGCGAGCAAATATTGATGGATGTAGGTAATAATAAGATATTGAAAAATGAACATCACTTAGAACTCCTTTTAGAAAAGTAGGTTGCATAGCTAAATTGCTTGATAAGAATTATTTGTTTATTAATTGAAATAATATTTACTGTACTTGGGATTCTGGATTACGATAGGAGGGTGAACAGTGTCCACGGGTACTTAGGCCTCAAATTCGGGCCCTTTGTACTACCTCCCTGACTAGGGTCGCCCGACCCCTCAACATCACTCAAGCCATCCCACACGTGAGATGAACCTTAGGACGCTGGAAGGGGAGGAGGCTCTAATCGTAGCCATGTCCGGCCAGGATTCCCCCAACATGGATCGTCTCAGTTGGACTAGAGCGGGACATTCACAGAGTATGTGGTATGCCGTCTCGTCGTCTGTGTAACATCCTCTACAAGATGGTGATTCCACCAAACCCATGCAGTGCATGTGCTTGTTTAGTTTACAGTGCCCAGAAAGTATTCCCACGAGTAACCTCAGGTTCTTCCTTGATAGCCCTGTACAAAAACGCGCCAAGCTACGAGATGGTCCTCTGAAGGCTTCTCTCGCATGGCGACAATCTAACATCAAGTTCCACCTAGCCCTGTGCTGGGTTTGGGCGTCTTGAGTTATTAGGTTGTTTACAGTTTTAACTGTAAGTGGAAGAGCCGGCTCTGGACCATAAAACGCCTGTTTTGAGGCCAGTCGGGCTAATTTATCGGCTTTCTCATTACCTTCCGTTCCAGCATGCCCTTTGACCCATACGAGTTCAAGGGTGTTGCTGCTTGCTACTTCCTCTAGTACGTGGTGACATTCGGAAACCATCCTAGAGGTAATTTTACAGTGACCAAGTCACTGCAAGACAGCCCTGCTGTCACTTGAGATTCTGATAGTTTTGTTCTTTATGTTATGCATAAGAACTGTTCTTGCACTAAGCGTTAATCCTACCAACTCTGACTGGAATACAGTAGGAAGTTTACCTAGTGGTTGGGTGATATTTACTGTACTTATGTTAAAGATTGAAAGCACAATGAAAGCAATAATAGATGGTGTGCAAACAATAAACAAGTATGTGCACAGTGTATTTTGCAGAAGTGTAGGTTAATGAAAATTAGTCATTAGATAAAGGTAAAGTAAGCTCATTTTTAAGTACTCAGCTTTAAATGTACCCATTCATTGAGCTTTTGTTCAAATTTTAATCTTAAACCTACAGCTGGTATACCTAAGCTCCTTCATTAAATCTTTTCGTCCATTTAAGGTGGGAAAATAGTCGAGGCAAATTAGGTTATCTAAAAGTATAAAATATAGTGGTTTAATTACAGTACATAGGCAATAAAAGTAAGCAAAAAATGTACGAGTACATTAATGTGTTTGGTACACTGTTCTGGGCGCGGTTCGGGGTGGCTGAATTTCTGAGCTTTTAAGCGTTTCGTTTAACGTACGTGAATTAAAATCTATCCTAAATTTCTAATATAGGCACCTTTAAAATCCTGAGCAAACTTGCAATAAATGGATATTGAAATTACCATTTTTTTAGAAATCAGTTACAATGTATGTTGCGCCATTATTTTAAAGCTGATACAATGAAAAAATTCTGCGTAGGAACACTTACTTACCTTTAAATCGTTGCACTATTTCGTCAGACATGCCCCATTGGGACAACAGGGCATCAATGTCCTTGTCCATTTTTTTTGAAGCACACAAAGGAACCAAAAACGCAATAGATACACAACACTGTGGATGAGTGTTTAAAAACTAGTTTAAGGGTATCCATTGTAGCCAGCGCGCACCCCCACTTAGCGCATTCCCGCTTATTGTCAGCGAGTTTACCTGGCTTAATAAATTATGTAAAATTAGGACTTCGTTTAGAACCATGTAAATGTAAACATCAAGAAGATGTACTCGTATTTTTCTATGTTAAATAAATTACATGTGCATTGTTACCAGCGCTATTTTTCTACATAAGAAGTTTTGGTCCCTCCAAAATTTGGACTATAAGGGGGGATATAATGCCAGCTGATATTAAAGTTAGTTGCATAAGTCAATATTGAATTTTGGTTATTAGTTACAAATTGACCCAATTCTTTTAATTCGTTATTTGCGCCTCGAAATGTTGACGCATTATCCGAGTATATATGAGTAGGAATACCACGTCTACCAATAAATCGTTTGAGGCATCCAAAAAAGCATTCAGTTGACATATCGCTTAATAATTCTATATGAATAGCCTTATAGGTAAAACAAATAAATATACATATATAACATTTGTGAATTTTGGCTCCTCGCCCTTTTCGGTCTTTCCATTGGAAAGGGCCTGCATAGTCAATTCCAACCACTTGAAATGGCAAGCATTGTGAGATTCTATTATTTGGTAAAGCACCCATCGGAGCAATACCTGCAATTGGTTTGAATTTGAAACATGCAGGCCCTTTCCAATGGAAAGACCGAAAAGGGCGAGGAGCCAAAATTCACAAATGTTATATATGTATATTTATTTGTTTTACCTATAAGGCTATTCATATAGAATTATTAAGCGATATGTCAACTGAATGCTTTTTTGGATGCCTCAAACGATTTATTGGTAGACGTGGTATTCCTACTCATATATACTCGGATAATGCGTCAACATTTCGAGGCGCAAATAACGAATTAAATGAATTGGGTCAATTTGTAACTAATAACCAAAATTCAATATTGACTTATGCAACTAACTTTAATATCAGCTGGCATTATATCCCCCCTTATAGTCCAAATTTTGGAGGGCTGTGGGAAGCAGCGGTTAAAAGCATGAAGTTTCATTTGAAACGAGTAATGAACACTTCCGTTTTAACTTTTGAAGAATTCTCCACTCTGTTAACTCAAATTGAGAGCATTTTAAATTCAAGACCTTTAAGTTCAATGTCTAACGATCCTAATGATCTCGAACCCATCACACCTGCCCATTTCTTAATTGGACGACCAATTACCGCTGTTCCGACACCCGGAATCGAAAGTATACCACAAAACAGACTGTCTCGGTGGCAATACGTACAACAGCTGCGTCAACATTTTTGGACCCGTTTTTCCAAAGAATATATTCATCAATTACATCAAACTTACAAGTGGAAAACCGGCTCAGGCCAACAATTACATATCGACAGTTTAGTGCTGATTCAGGATAAACACCAACCGCCCAACAAATGGGCATTAGGAAGAATATCGAAGTTAATACGTGGCCCAGATGACGTACCTCGAGTAGCAGAAATCACCACATCACACGGACTCATCAAAAGGTCTACACGACACTTGTGCCCATTACCAGTTGTAGCCGATTAGACGACAAGTTGTATTATAGACAAAGACAACCGTCGACTCGTTAGCCTCGTAGTGTACAGTGAAAAACAATATGTGTAGATAGCGTTCTTGTTCTTAGTGTTAGGAAGTTTTTTTTTATGAAAAATTGATATTAATATTTAACTGTGTCTAATTTATTATACTCTTTCTCATGTTCAATAAGGTGTTTTAACTATATGTTATTTGTACTTTTGAAGGTTCCCTTCAAAGAGGGGGCTAAACAAAAACTTCTTATGTAGAAAAATAGCGCTGGTAACAATGCACATGTAATTTATTTAACATAGAAAAATACGAGTACATCTTCTTGATGTTTACATTTACATGGTTCTAAACGAAGTCCTAATTTTACATAATTTATTAAGCCAGGTAAACTCGCTGACAATAAGCGGGAATGCGCTAAGTGGGGGTGCGCGCTGGCTACAATGGATACCCTTAAACTAGTTTTTAAACAGCCTTTGTGTCCGGAAGATTCAGAAACTCGGCAATGGTAGAGGGCATTTTTCCAAACGTGTTTATACCAACTGGGTTGGCAGTGCATTTGTAATTTCTGTTAATAAATTACATAGCTCTTCACGCCGACAGGCTCCATATATTCCGAAAATAGTGGCAACTTTCACCATCAAGTATTTTTCATCTGGTGCCTCGTTTAAAAATCTTTGAACTTGCTCAAACGTAAGGGTTTTTGATTTTTTGGGACTGTAGCCTTCATTTTTCCGCTTTAAGAAAGCGATTACCTTGAAATATTTGCTCACATCGACACCATTTTTAACGAGCGCACTCGCCTTTATCATTAAAAATTTACTCCACAAAGTTGACGAGTTCCATATTTTAGATTTCTCTTCCAAATAAGCTAAAAATACGGATTCACTGAAGTTTCCTTCCACTTTTTTAATTCTACACCAGCTGAGAAAATTAGAATATGCAATGTCATACTGTTGAGCTGATTTTTTCGGTAATAATTCAAACGTAGCTCTTTTGGCAGCCTCTTCAATATCGCCAGGAACACACAATTCATCAGTATTATTATTCTCCATTACGCGAAATTAAGCTTTAAACACTAGCAAGAACTTTAAAAAACCACAAGAACAAAACAGGGTTGTTTGTTGGTAACTAAGGTGATTCGGCGTGTCCTAATACAGTCACTTCACAGCCAATCTGATAATAATTACTGAAACGTCAGAAATTAATTAACATAGGTATGACAAATGACGCCAGCATGTGATCTATTTTATTATCCAAAGGGAGCAGTTCTTAGAGAAGAATTAAGGAGCAGTTATACAAAAAATGTTGTATGGTATTCGTGTTAAAAGTAAGTATTACCATTGAATAAAAACACTATAAGAAGCCTAACCCCGTGGAAATAAAGCGCGACAGAGATTGAACTGAGAATATAATGGAAACACTGTCAATAGTGTCGATTCTTGAACTGAGAAGAATGAGAATTTGCTTTCCTCCTATCACAGATTTAGTATATTTAAATCTGTGCTCCTATTTACCGCAAAGAGAGTTCGCTGATCACAACCAATGCGGGTGCAAGGGGATTTGTCGCGCTTTCTTCCATAAGCGTTAAGGCATTGAATTTATAGTTATAAATTCAATGGTTAAGGCTTCTTATAGTGTTTTTATTCAATGGTATTACTTAGTTCGTGAAATTGCTCCACTCGCTTCGCTCGTTTCGCAAACTTTTTCACTCACAAAGTAAAACATTACTTTTAACACTCATATCATAAATAGCTATTTTCTACGAAAGTGTAGAAACACGATTGTTTTTGTAGGTAAATTGATTGTGAAAACAGATCTTTGAAACACTAGTGCGGCAATAGTTATTTACCTAACAAGTTCGGTAAGTTAATTTTCCCGCATGAGCACTTTGTTTGCAGCACGACCGTAGGGAGTGCTGCATTTAGTGCGAATGCGGGAAAATTCTTTCCGAAAGAGTTAGGTACAATATTTTTTGTAACGAATTGCGTAAAAAAAGGTCAAAATTAATAAAGTTTTGTAAATTAGTTTTTTTTAATCATGAGTTGGTAACACAATCATATGTTTGGTTGGTAACATAATTTTGTAACTACCATTGCACTGGTCACATTTAAAACTTCCACATCTTTGGTTAATACATATTTTGCCTTTGCAATGAGTGCTACTACTGGTCACGGCATTGCATCGTTTGCACTAAATATCCTTGGAAGTCTTCAATGTTAAGAAATATGCTTTGAAAAGAGTGCTCTTATTGGTCGCGTAAGTGTACTGATCGTATTTAATATTCCCAGAAGACATGTGTGAAGAAATGTGTTCTCAAATTTGATTTATCTTGAGTTGCGTAAATACACTCGTTACATTTAAAATCCTTGGAAGCTTTGTGTGTGTTAATATGTGCTTTCTTAAACTGCATAGGTATGCGAATAGTTGCAGAATATCACTGGTCACATTTTAAGACGTTTTAACAATAAATTTTACTTTTTCTTGAGTTCCACTTCTGAAAAATAATTTGATTGCGTTATAAGTTCTTGTTTATATTTACGTAAAACTTAGTGTACGTCTGTTTCCGATTAATCGCACTAAATACCCTCAACCAACGGTTTAATTGATTTTACAGCAGATGACAGTTAACCATGACATGACGTTCGTTGACTTCAATAAGTACTACCAACCGAAGAACGCGCATAACCCCTTCTCTCCAGCGGAAACTAAAAAACACCGCGATGCGGGAAAGTCGTTTTCCCGTGCATCGAGGATGCTTGGAAACATTATCTTTCCATTCAATGAGTACAAAAAAATATTTTCTGCACGCATTTTCTACACGCTAATAAACATATACGAAGTAACTCTTTGTAATTGTATTGCTTTATTCACAGTTTCGTTATAGGTATAAGACAGACAATGGTAGAATTTTCTTTGCCTTCTGCTACAGAAAACGTTCTTGGGGCATGATTCTTGGAGTCAGGAATCGTTAGGTATCAATAAAATTGCATCTTGTTCCACAGCTTACTTACCACAGCTTACTTAGTAAGTAAGCTGTGCTTGTTCTGTGAAATCCGTTACAGTCATTTTACAACGTTCGCTCCGACGGCAAGCTCCAGCCACTCCAAGGACGAGAGCAACCTGTAATTAAATTATGCTTATTTATGATTTAAAAATATAATAAGAAATTCACAAACCTTCATCATTACAAATGTTTCATCAGGCGCTTCTCTCAAAAACTTAGCGATTTGTTCTCTTATGAAAACGCTCCTTTCCGAAACGCTGCTTAGACTTTTGGGGTAGCAATTCATGCGAAATCGCATTAGCCATTTCCGCAACGTCCGGCGGGGTGCACATACCTTCTTCATCTTCAGTTTCGTCAAAATTTAAGAGTCTTCTTTACCTAAGCGCAACTTTTTTACATTATAGTGTATAGATGATTATAGCTGCAAGAAATAAGATGATATTCTTGCTTTGTCAACTCCTGTCTTGGTCCTTAGTTAGTTCCCACCGAGACTGTGCAGCGGCGCCACTTGTTACGCTCAAATTGTTGATTTAACGCCCGCCAAGATACAGACTTTATTTACAAAAATTATGATTTCATTTTTTGGGGTCACATTTAGAAGTAACTTATCTAAAAAACTGTCGGTTTACTTTTTCCATAAATCGTCTTGATCGAGAGTAAAAAAATAAAACAGATTAGCGCAATAATCGGTGCGAAACATCTAATCTTTAAACAATCGGTATTCAGTTGCTATAAACTTTTTAAAAAAAATAGCCCGAACATTTTGTAGATAAAGGTCTAAATTTATAAAATAGTTCTTAAAAAAAATTGTTTTTGGAAAAACAAATAGAGTTTTTATGGCGGGCGCTCTTATGGAAATTTACATTGGGTGCAGTGGGTACAGAAGACTCTTTTCACTACGCCACAAATTGTTTGACTTAAATTTACGATTTTTCAAACAATTATGTTTTGTCATGGCAACCGGCTTACTGGATCATTTACAATTGAAACATCCAACTAAGATCAGACTATACGATTTTTTGTCGTTATTTGGCTAGTTGAAATTTCTAATTTCTAGAGAAGAATTTTTCACTTTCGTAGAAAAAATAGTATGAAACACGCATGCCGAAACGGTCATTGAAAAACTCGTATAATAGTACATTTATACTCGTTTTTCAATAATACCGTTTCTGCACTTGTATTTCAATGTACTATTCTCAATTACTGAATAAGAACCTGATTTTCTTTGTTTGCGAAACATTGTGGCGACCGTGACAGGACGTGTATCTATTGGTGGTTTTGCTGTGTAGTACCGGACTTTGACCGTTTGCACAGTAGTAACAAGATTACATACGCCTAACATCCGACAAGAGATTTGCTGGACAGTTAGTCAGTAATAGTGAGCTTTACGTTGAATTCGTGTTGAACATTCATTGGGTACCAAGTTTTAATAGTCATTTCTATTTTTAGAAAATGGAAAGTCTTAGAAATAAACGTGCGGCGTGTCGCAGTGTATTCACACGCGTAGCTAATAATTTGACATCTCTATTAGCAGATTCAAATAGGGACCCAGTAGAGACAGAAGCTGCATGGGAACAACTTCATGTAAAGATGGACTATTTAAGAAAATCTGATGATGAGATAATGGATAAATTATTGGAAGAGGAAACATCAGAAGAAACCATGCTGCAGGAGTTGGAAGGTACCGAAAAATATGTAGCTACATTTACACAGTTAAAGGTGAGATATAGTAGATTTGTTATTAAACCATCAGAAGAGGTTAATAGCGATGCTAATAGCGATTTTACTAAACGACAACGCAAAATGAAACTACCCAAAATTGAATTAAAAAAGTTTGACGGGTCAATACGAGATTGGCTGCCCTTTTGGAGTCAGTTTGAAAAAATTCATACTGATGAGACGATTGCATTAGAGGATAAGTTTCAATATTTAATTTTCGCGACTGTGCCGAATTCTAAAGCTAGAGACGTCATCGAAGGTTTTCCTCCAACTGCAGGAAATTATTCTGAAGCAGTTAACCGATTGAAAACGCGTTTCGGCAGAGACGATTTACTCATAGAATTTTACGTTCGAGAGTTGTTGAAACTAGTTTTGCGTAATGACGGTACACATTCTAAAAATGAGATCGCCAGTTTGTATGATAAACTAGAGACTCAAATCCGTTCCTTGCAGACTTTAGGCGTGAATACTGATATGTGTGCGGCCATGTTGTATCCGTTGGTAGAATCGTCTCTGCCAGAAGAATTCTTGCGCGCCTGGCAGCAATCGTCAGATTTTGCAGCAGCGTCTAGCAATTCTATGAATTCTAGATTAGATAAGTTAATGAAATTCTTACGTTCAGAAGTGGAGAATGAAGAGAGGATCACTCTAGCCATCGAAGGTTTTTCATTCAACAATGAT